GAGGAGGAGGAGGAGGTGGAGGAGGAGGAGAAAGAAAACTGTGGAGCTTGGTGGTTTTCTTGTAGACATCTTGTTACCAAACTAGGAAACATAATCAGTGATAGAAAGGAGTGAGGTTTGCAGAAAGGAGGAGGAGGAGGAGAGGAGGAGGAGGAGAAAGAAAAGGGGAAAAATGGAGAAAGGAAAAAGAGCAAGAAGCGGAGAAGGAGGAAAAAAAAGGAGGAGGAGGAAGAGGACAACTGTGGAGTCTATGGTGCTCTCTGGGCTGGGTGGTTTTCTTGCAGACATCTCATTACCCAACTAGGTAACATCATCAGTGCTGGAAGGGAGGGGGTTGTGGGGAGAAGGGGAAGGAATGTGGCGTCCTTGGTGCTGAGCTTGGTGCTTTTCTCAGACATCTCATGACCCAACTAGGTAACTTCATCAATGCTACTGCTAGCACCTTAATGCCAACACCAAACAGGAAGTACGAAGAAAGGCAAGGAGCCGCTTTCCCTCTTCCAGGAAACCTAACAAGAGCCGCGGTGATGGAGACCCACAAACCAAGGCTCCCAGCGAGGTCATCCTCTCCAACCTGGACAGACCCCCTCCCCCCCCCCAAAAGCCCATCCCAACGGCCGCTCACCTTTTGATCTGCTCTTCGATCTGCTTGACGAGAAGCGACTCTCCTCCGTTGAGGCTGGTGGCCGCCAGGGCTGGTCCGGTGCCCAGTCCGCCAGCTTCGGCAGCCCCGTTCAGCTCCACGGAGCAGCGGCCCAGCAGAGAGCGGACTCGCTTGGAGCGCATGTCCAGGATGGTGTCCGTGTAGCCCACTTCTTCCAAATATCTGGAAGAGAGACCCCAGGGGCCCGAGGGGGAGGCGGCCTTTAGTCCAACGGGCAGGGTGATTTGCAACCAACGGAAGTTATGACGGAGCCCCTCTGAAGGCACTTACGATCTAGTTCCCAACATTATATATATACATACACACACACACACACACACATATATATTTAGTGTCACAACCCCTGGTATGCCCCAATTATGGGAGGAAGCTAACTGCTTCCATTATCTGTTCGAATCCCAGTAAGGGTATGGCTAGCTGATGAGAGGTAAATAGCTTGAAATAGATCTATACTAGTCTCCCTTTATTTATTTATCAGCACAAATGCAACACACACACACACGTGTGTGTGTGTGT